GTAGCTTTAAGTTGAATTTCTTTAATACAATCATCGACATCTTTATTTCCACTTGTCCATCCTTGTACTATCTTTTGTGTGTCGCATGCTTGGCACCAAGCTTCGGAAGTGTTATATAGTTTGCATTTTGCACATTCTCCAAATTTAATATTTCTTTTTGAACTAAATTCATCGACCATTTTAAGATGTTACAAAGAAATTAATCATCGTTTGTAGTAACGTACGTACGTACATAAATCGATATATATACAATCTACTGTATAACAAAAGTATGTAGCACAACTTTTTACTTCTCACAGTTTAAACCTTTATTATTTAGCACATTTTATAAAACCGTATTCTTTTATGAATATTCACTAGTGTTACAATTCGATATAGCGTAAGTCGACTAAGTTAGTCGGTTTTTAAAATATCGGGTTAGGTGACTATAATTAAGTACTATCATAATAACAAACTCATCACATTATGAACTGGTATAAAGAGCACTTGTAAAATTAATAAATCATTAGAACTTGAGCCAAATGATATATTCTCATGATGTCGTGAAACAACTTATTGCAAAATGGGAAACATAAGGAATCACTTGATTATTTAATAATTTATTGAAAATAGATCCAAACTCATTAAAAAAAATCGTAGAGTAAATATATTATCAATTAGAATCTCTTGCAGATTTAAATGATTCATTGTGCATATAAAATCGATCCAAATAATGCAGATGCATTGGGAAAACTTGGAGAAGCATATAGTATAATGAAAAGATCGTTTGCAGATTTGAAAAAATCATTAACGATCGATAAAAATAATGTGTTAAGGAGTTGTGGGTAACCTATTATATGACAGGTAGATATGAACATTCTCTTTTAAACATAAATGTATCATTAAATATCGTCCCAGATAATGCAAAAGCATTAAAATGTCGTGGAGAAACTCACCGAATGATGAACATTCACTTGCAGATTTATACAGAAGCAATGAGAGGTAATTATCGAATGTTAAGAAAATAAAAAAATCATTTCAAGATCTAAATAAATCATCTGAATAATGTACTTGCATTAAGAACGCATGGTGCAACATATCGAATGATTGATGATATATATTTTGAATCACCTGCAGATTTAAATAAATCATTAAAAATCGATTCTGATAATGCATACGCGTTAAGAAGCCGTGGGAAACTTATCGTATAATATGTAAATATAATGAATCAACTGCAGGTCTAAATAGTTTAAGAAATTATAGGAAAAAATTTTCATATTAGGCCACAAAAAACCAATATCTTGGTTTTCATAACACGAAACTTTTAAATAAACCTGCCTGGTCGACTTTTTATTTAATTTTATATATAAGTTTTATAAAATTTTTTTAAAATCTTTTAATTATTAAAGAGATTTACTATTTATCACCACTGGTGATCATTAATAGTGTATAATATAAAATAATATTTTATTAACAAAACTACTATGGGGTTCTAATTAAAAAAATTATCTGTGAAATTCTGAGTATAACCCTTCCTTTATTTTAATTCAAGCTTTTAAAACTTACACTAAATATTAAAAAAAAAGATTTTTGGTTTGATAAAAATTTAATTTTAATTCTTGTAAATCGCTGATAATAATCACCAGTAGTGAAATGAAGTAATTTTCATTATTAAAGCATGTAAAAAAAATTTCTAAAATTTGATTAGATGGGTTATGAAAATCAATTAATTAATCTTGCATGATTTTATAAAATCTTATTGTTTTTCTACGTGATCTGAACTTTGTAAGCAGCATTGTATTCTACTTATAAAACTTTCAACAGAGTTTACTTTACGTCCGTGAAGTTGAATTCAGTACTAGTCGGCTAATAGTATATCGTTATTGATTTAAACATTGCATTTTACTTAATCAAGTTGAGAAATTCCAAACCTACTTAAATTCCGTCCCTACTTAGAACATATACGCAAGTTTAATTTTACCATATGAGTGGCGCCTGATATCAGGCTTTCAAGTTTAGCATTTGTTATTTACCGGATTTGATACGTAATTAAATTTACTTACGTATTAAACATGCTTCTGATCAAGGCTGTGTCCAGTGAATAATAAAAATAAGCTTGAAAGCCGAAGTCTTGGCATCACTCAAATTCAATAACGATAAATGAAGTTTGACATTAAGAAAATGTATGCGTTAAATAATAAAGGTTTGACATGAAAAATAAACGCGTTAATCCATGAAAAATATTTTCAACGGAATTAAAATTTTTTGTAAAGGACTAGAATGCAGAAAAGTAACATTGTCCGATCCATCTCCATAATTACATTCAGTTTCATTTGATGTATTAAGATGAAGATATTATTAGTTCTTGTCATGCTTCTTATTACAATGATTATTGTGACATGGTTCGCAGAATTGGGTTTGAATTACCATTTGACGTGGCCGCTTAGCTGGCTTAGCCGACTTAGCCAACTAAGATGGCTTAGCTGGCTGGTATTATAACAATGTTTCTATTTATTGGATATGGAGGTACATAACGATAAGTATGTGCGTACGTTCGTAAAACTACATATCGATATAAATATAAGCGCCAAAATTATTCATAAATGAGGAAGGCATTTCAAAAGAACATAATTCAAATTTAGCAAAACTTTAGTTTAATGAATTGGCTTTGTTTTAAATCAAGAAACATAGCGTTATCTTTGTGATAAATATTTGTTGTTTTTTCAGAAAAGATAACCTTGATATATTTACATGTGTTTACCATTTTAATTTGACGAAAATAAATGTGTACATTTTACTGATTATATAAATATCCATCAGCGTATAAATAAAAATTAATATTCACCATGAAAATTCTCCTCTTAATCATCAGGAAAATTATTTTCAATTCATTGTTTCAAATATCAACAGCAGCATCTATTATAGATTATTCTTATTCATCCGTGCAAGATTTATACGATGCTATTCTTAACACATTATTTCCAATAATTTTTGTCATTTTATTTAATGTCAGAGGTGAAACTGGACGCATTAAGAAAGTGGTATTACCATTAATAGATGATATATTATATAATATTATCACTTGGTTGATTCCACTGATAGTTGCTTTTACTTATGGAGATACATTATATATAAAAATATTTTCAATTATAAACATGTGTTTACATGTATTTTGTGCAGTATTCGCAATAATTAAGCATGAAACAATTAAAGGATCTAAAGGAAAAACTTATTCTGAATATATTTTTTGGTTTTTAGTGTTCTTTCCAGTAATAGTAATCCCAATGTTTTGGATAATTACTATTAGTAAACATTCTTTGGATTTAATTAATTTAATATTTCTTGTATTATTTGGGCTATTATTAATGTCTGCAATTTTATTTATACTTTTTTTAGTTCTTTATATTTATGGTTTATTAGATTTATTTGCTCGTATATTTCTTTATATACAAAATATTTTAAATATTTTCTGTTCTATATCATTTTATGTTCCAAATATTTTACAAACATTTTTTATTTTGTTAAAATGGCCAATTAATTTTTACTTTGTAAAAGCATGTGTATTCATATTGGTTTTATCTTCGACAAGAAATATGTCTTATTATACTGATAAGGTTCCTGATGATTTTTTGGCTACTTCAACTGCAATAACTCAGTATATGTTACGTGATGTATTAGCACCCGATAATTTTATGAAACCCGAGGGATCAGCAAGATGAAAAGTTAAATAACAGGAAAAATCGAAGGTCAAAATGAATTTCAAATGTATAAAATCAATTGTTTAATACTCTTGTATAAATTTCAAAATTATTTAGTTGATTCAAAAAAAAACTGTTTTATTTTGCAGAAATTATAAAATGGTACCGTATTATATTCATTGTTCTTATAAAATTTTTGTTGTACCATTTGACTCCGAGCAATAATTGTAATCAGAGTTACGCACCACTGCTATTTACGCAAACTCTTTTTCAGTCTAGTAATGATGCTTTTAACACTGAAGTGATAATGAAAATTTGGTTTGCTAAAATACAAGTTATGTCATATTTTATTAGTTGCATTGAAGTATCGGATGAGTTCTGTTATTACATTTTATTTTTTACTCGCACTTTATCGTTCATATACCTATTTGAAACTTAAATGTTATTATACCCCTTTCATTTACTTAGTCTAAATCGAATTATTTACCAATAGGCAATTAACTCATGAACTATTTACTATTAAAATAACTTGTTCCGTTATATGTTTATAATTCTATAACTAGATTATGGGCAACAACCCCGAGTAATTCTTAAGAATTGTAGCTAATACAGTAATACATTAAAAATGTCGATTTTATTACCTTTTATCGTCACTATGTACCATATACACGATTTTAAAATTTGATTGAAAAATATCAAAAAAGCGCCTCTTATATTTAACACACAACTTGCATATAAAATATTCTGAATTCGATGCGATCATTCAACTTACAAAAGCTATTGTTGTTCTGGAAGTGTTGGTGATGAATGTTTGTAAATCTTCTTTTTCCATTCGCGTCGTTCTTCCTGTTTTTTTTTTTTTAAACCATAAATAAAGAAGGATATAAATAAAAGGGATTAAAAGAAAAACATAATAATAATCGTGAACATATGTAAAGGAAAGATTAGTATTATTGACATAGGTGGGAATCAAGTATCTTGAGATCCAGTAATCAAATCGATCACGATCACTGTATCACAAGACATTCGATTCACCAGAATACTCCTTTCCTTTGAATTTAAAAAACTACTAACATCTGTCATTCCAAGAGTTAATCCTTTCCATTGTCCAGCCCATTCATATACGGATAAAAGAGTTGCCATTCCGAAACAAGCTCCGAACGCAACTGGGTATGAACGAGCTTTTCATTTTACCACAGAGTATCACATTTTTTTTCGAATTGGTAAATTTGAAATAAAATAAAAATAAAATGAAATATGATTAAAATGATAAATTATAAGAATTGTAAGAATTGATCACTATACAATTTCTTATGTCGTGTTGTAATAACTTTCTAAATATAAATCGTAACAAAATTGACAAACTAATTAAAAATTCGAATATATGTATAAATCACCAATTGAGAATACCTCTTATTCCTGCTGTTAATCCTGCCGTACATCCTGCAACGGCTCCATTAACCCAATCATCAGTTTTACGAGCATTTGCAAGTATGGATTCTGTTCCCGCAAAGATACCTCCTACTAAAGCTATTTATAAATAATTGTAATAAAATATTTTGTAAGTTAAACATGTGTTACGTAAACTTAATAGAAAATATATATTCATTTTCTTTCTCATGCAATTGTTTGATCAGCTAATTCAATAATTCAATTACGAACAATAATTAAATACATTCAACTCCAAAATTAATCCCATAAACAATTATTATTATTGCTCTTAATTTTATGAATGCTACACTATTACAATTCTCTAACACCTACCATATCCTGTAATAGTTTTTCCTGTTCTAGTAATGACACCAGCTGCTCCATATTCGTGTCTAGATAATGCATTCTGTACCGCTGACATTAATAATCCAAAAGCTCCAAACCCTGTTGCATATTTAAGCGTATGAGAAAATACATCTTTTTCAAAATATATATCACTATCTTTGATAATAATTTGTCCTGTTGCTTCAGGTTCTAATGTTGATGCTACTACTGGTGTCGATGCTTGAGAATTTGTAGATTTAGACATTCTGAATAAACGTAAAAAAAGTGAAATAAAATGTGTAGATGTAAATCGGTTTCTTTTTTTTAAGATCGTAACACGTTACACGGGTGCTTCATCTTGTGATCTTGTACAGTATACTTATACTGGTATAGTGATAGGAAATCGATCTAAATACGTACAGTACTGGTCAAAGGAAGAAGTTTGTTTGATTGGCTAATTTTATGTAGATCATTCGCAGATCACGATTTGCTTTTTTAAAATCCGATTGGTCGATTAATAAATTACGAAATTACTATGTATCGCATTGTCAGAGGTAAAACCGACACCTCATAGAGCCTGCAAAATGGACGTCATTGTGGCATACTTACCTAATTAGAGTT